CAAATACTGCATAGTGCTACTGTTGTAAAATGGGACTGACATCAGGGTTGAGGTAAGACTGAGAAAAACTGGATAAATTGTGTATACTGCATTGAAACAGATGAGGGAGAGAACAGTTTAAAAGCGATATAAGATAAGGTATTATGGTTACCAGAAGAGTCCAGAATGAAGGTTGCATAGTGGTGGCAGGGGGATTGTGTATCAGTGAAGGAATTTTTCTTTTACTTTTCAAAGAGAAGAACAAACTGGGGGGAGGGGTGGACAGAGAGAAAAGTGCAACAACGAATGAATGGAAATCCAAAATCTCTGTAAGTGTTCATTAAAATTCATAAAAAAAATTAAATAGTTATTTCAAACTAAATCTTAAAATAAGCTCTAGATGTATATGGTAGGAAGAAAGGGGGAAGAAAAAAAAATAGGATTACAAAATTAATACACTGATACAACTTACTTACATAAAAACATTAATATGACAAGGATTAACAACAAATGCTGAATCTTACATGTTCTTCCCATACTTTCTTTTCTCTTTCATATGCTTCCTTTCTCTTCCGCTCTAGTTGTTCTTTTAATACAGACGCACGTGCGTTTACTTGGGACTGAAAATTTAAAAAAAAACAAACCAACAACAAAATTAGTTATCAGACAGAAGATTTCCTTCATTTAAGATTTCTTCAGGTCTACAAAACCAATATATTTGGGGGGGGGGGAGCGGCTAACGGTATAGATCATGGACTTCATTTTATTTATCTTCAAAGAAGAGGACAAATGTGTCTTTTTCTTTTTTCCTTTTAGAAATTACTTGAGGGACAGTTTCATGTGTTTATGCTCTGGTTTCATCTAATTGTTAGTTTTAAGTATGTGACAGAAAAGTGAAAAATGCTATTTTTCAGAGACTAAAAAGCAAGAAGTAGAAGGGAAAGAAAAATTAGGATAAGAGAATAATGTAACTACCTAAGATCATAAATATGTCTCATGTTCTTTTCTAAAACAAAAAAAAATCTGTCGTCTTGTACCTTAAGTATTTCAATTTTTTTGTGCTTCATCTCGGCCTCTTCACTTCCTTCTTGTACTCTGAAACTATCAACTTCTTTCTAAAATATAAGTAGATAAAACAACTCAGACTGACAGACTATTGAATCCAGTGCAGAACTCCATGGAAGAGAATATAAAGTGACATGTAAAAATGTAAAATTCTTCAATGCTGTTTATCTTCTTCCTACAAAACGAGCTGCAAATGAATTTTGCATAACTACCAATCTGCAGGAACAAATGATAAAATGAAAATGGTATAAAACATTCATTCTTCCACGGGTCCTAATAATTCTCACTCAGAATTTCTCCAGAACAAATGATCTTAGTAATAACAAGTCATATAAATAAGATTTACTTGAACTGTATGTGTAATCTTCTGCCCTCTTTATTTTCAATTCTTTATCACTCTTTACTCCTGTGTTAGTGGCACAAATGTTTAAACTTATTTATTATAATATCATGCAACTGTTTTAATATTTTAATTTATTTCTTTTTCATTTCAATGAACATCTACAGAGATTTTGGAATTCCATTCATTCATTGTTGCACCCTTCTCCCCGCACAAACGGCCCCCCCCACCTCTCCCCCCCACCGGTTTGCTCCTCTCCTTAAAAAGCAAAAGAAAAACTCCCTCATTGGTACACAATCCCCCCCGCATGTCCCCCAATCCCACCCCCAACCTCAAATAAAATCCACTCTGCAACCCTCATTGCGTACTCCGACGATAAACATAATGCCCTAAAATATACTACTTTTAAACTATT